TAAAAGTTTGCACGTCAATTGCCGTGCAAAATATTGCACGTCAGTTGACGGAAATGACGGCAATTGCCGTTATTATCTATTGACATGCGTACTTATGCTTCATAATTTCACGTCAATTGTCGTGCAACATGGCAATTGCCGTACTTCACGTTAAATGGGGTTATCGTCTCCACTGCCAAAAGGTCACTGTATCTCTCACCGCTGACATTACAGTTGAGACTCACCAAGGGGGTGCGACTCTCCTTGGTGAACACCACCTCAAATATGAACAGAACCACCTCCAAGAGCTACTTATAATAACAATCAGTTGTATGTGCAAATATGAAGAGGAAATCGGGAGGCAATAAACATTGTTTAACAAATTATTATCATTTATAAGAATTATACCAAACAATTAATAATTATAAAATATTCCATATTTGAGCAACTGTACATTTAGGTCATTTTACAATCATGATCGTTGAGAAATGCATATAATGTGACTAAATTCATGACTACCATTATACATGCCATGAAATTATCATTTCACTATATGAGCAATAATGTGATGGTATTTTTACATGTTTCTTTTGTTATGTGATTGTTTCTCAATGGAATCAGAATCCATTCAATATACATACCAATAGGTTCCTTGTTGGATTAGTTCCAAAGAGTGATTGTAATTGATGAACATAAACATCTATTACTAATGATGCTGTCTGACTCTAGGGAAATATGACTATAGTCTACAACATCAGGCATCGAGTATGGAATAACATAGCATCACTATTATAGATATTTGTGCCTTGATTACATATTCTAGCCAAACAGACAAAATATGCTCTTGTCTCATCAAATGGACTCATAACAGTTTTCTCTTTTACCATGCGTAATATATTTAATGATTTGAGTACAATACAAAAAAGTTTTGCCAAAAAACTGTATCCTATTACAAAAAGAAAATGCTGACTTATACCTAACAGTGTGAGATACAGTATTGTTAGAGAATATAATAGATTACTCTTCATGACGACCTACGGCTCTTGGGTAGATATATTATATTTGCCTCAAGATAATCCTAATATCCGGAACTTTATATAGATGAGATGTTTATCACATACAAATCTTGCTCATCTGGTTCACATTGTTCAATTGGCCCATAAATTAGAATATAAAAAGTGGTGACATATTTTAATGGTCTCCATTTTTTATGGTGGTTGGGGGATGGCAGTTGGTGGTTGGCGGTATACGATCGGCATTTGTAACAAATTCTACAACTTCCAATAACTTAACAAATACTGTTTAGACTGACTTCCAATTTTTTTCAAAATCATATACATGTTTTTAGAAGTTCAAATCTGACTTTATATATATGAGTTGACCTTCAATGACCTTTTCAAGGTAAAAAAAGGTATTTTTTCAACTTGCTTCAAATTGACCACTTTTCAAAATCATCTACAAAATAAGTTATCAGAAGTTCAAATCTGACTTTAGATTTGAAATTTGACCTTCAATGACCTTCTCAAGGTCAAAAAAGGTATTTTTGCAACTTGCTTCAAATTGACCAATTTATTTTTTCAAAATCATCTACAAGTTCTTAGAAATTCAAATCTGACTTAAGATTGAACTATTGTAAGCAATTAGGTGGTGACATTTTGTCATGTGCTTCTTTTTGTCATGCCTTGTGTTTTATTGGCTTTGCCCTGATTTTCTGTTCTTTCAGATATTCATTCACATTAGTATTTTTGAATCTTTGATTATAAACAGAGATAAATAAGCTCCTTCCCTTGTTTAAACCATCAAACAGATCGCAATTGTTTGCATTTTTTCTCATTGATATTTAAAGTAATAATGCAAATGGTACAAAAATGCACCAACATGCAAAATGGCAGCTATGAAGTAGCAGCCAGATATACAGTGCATCCAAAAAATGCAACAAGCAAAAACATGGTAAATCACAAAACCAGTGATGATTACATTAATTTCATTTAGTTTACCACGTGTCTCCTCTTTTCAATGATATCTCATTTTAGGATTTAAGCCCTGTACTCAGTGCCATGTGGATTGACCATTCCTTGAAGGTGTTGTTTTCCAAAATGTGCACGAAATGCTTGCTTTGAGTGTAAAAATACCTTTTAGGAAATAACACATGAAAGGAATGGTCATTACACAATGCATTGACAGTGTTCGCGTTGACGCCGTTTTTTGCCATTTTTACGGAAATTTCAGAAGGTTATACGTAAAAATCAAAATCAACTTACGTCCCTAAGACGCAAAAATTATAAACTGCATCAAGATAACTTTTACTGCAGCACAGTAGCGGTGAAACATGATTTTCATCAAGATTTTCAAACTCACTACCTTGATATACAAGCAATGATCCAGGTATATTTATATCGACAAATCTGATTGGCTATCATGGCTACCGAAGATTAACAGGGTTTCCAGTATGAGACATGGATTTTGATTGGTTCCGATATATTCCGGAAAATGCTGCAATCGAAATGGAAGATCAAAACATACAATATTGCAGAAATCCCCTGTGGTGCCCCACAAATTGAAACGATTGTTTTTCACGATTATCTTTATTATTTCCACTAGGAACCATTATATTGATCTAATGTTATACATCAAGATAATTGTTTAATGATAGATCGAGGTTTTTCATCTAAAAGTCTTCAGAATAAGTAAAAATGTTAATAAAAAGAAGCAAAACTTCATGACCTTGATGTGACCTTCAAGATCGCAAGTTTGTAAAATGTGAAAACAAAACTCTTAAGGACAGGGTGCATGTTGGGAAATTTTCTGCACTCCTCAATTGAGTCACATGTTATTTTTCAAACAAGAATAACTCCTTCCCCACATTGTCTACATCTTCCAGGTTTGCACAAAGAGTGCACTTATGTGCCTAGAAAAGCCTTGTGAGAAGATTTGTTTTGTAAAATGTATAAAAAATGAGAAAATTCAGTGAAAAAAATTTCTGAAAATTTTCTGAATTTTTTCACTGAATTTTCTTAATGTTTTTTATACACTTTATCAAAACATTCTTCTCACAAGTCTTTTCTAGGCATATAAGTGCACTCTTTGAGCAAAACTGGAAGATATAGACAATGTTGGGAAGGAGTGATTCTTGTTTGAAAAATAACATGGTGAATTGTTGGCTATATAACGGAATGCAGTTACATGAAATAGCTTGTTCTGATTGGCTGGTATGTATGACACACCTTGGCTAGCTATGTGTGAATTATTCATATATGACTGACCATGTATATATTATCTTGGTCAGCTGGAAAGTATAGCTATATCCTGCCCACTGATCAAAATACATAGAGATTATCCTATATGAGGTTCAGGATATTGGGATTATCCCGAGGCAAATATAATATATTTGCCCGAGGGCCGCAGGTCCCGAGGGAAAATATATTATATTGGCCAAGGGATAATCCCAATATCCTGAACCGACTATAGGATAATATGTTTATCCCATACCAATCTTGGTCATCTGGTTCACATTGTTCAATCGTGGAAATATTCTAGAATATTCATGTCCAGTTTTGTTTTCTTGGCCGTGGGCGGATTTTTTTGTTCTCTCAAAATATTCCCACATTTATTTTCTCGAATTTTTTAAGTGAATGCTCCTTCCATTTTTTAAACCATCAAACAGATCGCCGTTGTCGTTTACAGTCATTACGCGAACGTTACAAATTATGAACAAATATGCGAGCGGCGATTATGACGTAGCGGGCAGATATACTATATCTGCCCGCTCGGAGCGGGACGTAAAGCTATATCTGCCCGCTGATGAAAATATAAGTTTTTACAAACCGGCTTTATGTACCTGTAACACGTCCAAGTATGGGATAAAACTATTTACAAACCTGCTTTATGTACATAAAACATATCCACATATGGGATAAAGATTATCCACCCTACAATGTAAAAATATAGGATGTCAGTCACATGGGCCAGTCAGAACACTAGAAATTGCACCATTATTTAATAAATGCAGGGGTTTCACTAGAATTTTTCACAACAGGCTAAATAAATGAAAACAGGCAAAATTAATAGAAATCAAAAATTTAAGGTCTCATGATACTTACAGGAAATGACAAAACCATGCTGGATTTCAAACATTATTGGGCAAATTTTTCTGAAAAATTTAAAAGGTTCCGTTTAGTGACCTTTCCTAAGCTCCTACTTTTAGCTATTTTTCAGTCACATTTTCAGAGGGCTGAAAACGTTATTTCATTATATTTAAGGTCATTCTGATTCTTTGTGATCCTGGTCATGTAAATGATATGTGGAACTAATTAAACTAACTGGAGGTCAAAAGAGAACTCTGTAATCTTGGTTCAAAAAATTCAAAATCCAGCATGGTTTTGTCACTCTATGTTGCGCTGCTAATGAAACCCCTGAAATGGACATATTTCTTTTTACAGCACAAGTCTCGCCCAATATATTTATGTATATATTAAATACAATATGCAAAAACATAAAAAATGCTGATCAATCTAATCATGCCAAAGTTTACATGTATGAGAACCAACTTTCTCACCAATCTCACCATCGCACTATGCTAGATATGGGGGTCAAATACAGATCATCAAAACATCTGTAGCATTTGGAATTTATTCGTTTTATACATAACTGGCGTTGTGTTGGTCATTTTCTCGGTTTACATAATTGCTATCCTTGAGCATGCAGATGTTAAACACAACAGTATATAGGATTACAATGTATATTCAACTGAGAGGCCTAATTATGAACAGGATTAAATTATGTGATAATGCAGTATTATTGATTCATCTTCTGAGATTGGTTTCATTTCTTCAGTAAGACAAATTGCATTGATGTTTTAATTATCCCCAGGGCAATGATCGAGCAGTAAAATGGTCATGAAACAAATGTGCTTAATCCTGTCCTTGATAAGTGAGTGGGATTATGCCACTTGCATTCCCAGTTACTGATCACTTTAAGAGCCAGTATCATGATAAGTCTGATACATACCCAACACTGATTAGGAGGAATCGATAAAAGAATGCTTATTAATTAAAAGGGGTTATTCAGATCTTGGTCAAATGAATTCTGTGTAGTGTGTTATATAAGTTGTGTAGTGTAAAACAGGATATAAGAACAAAAATATACAATTTGTGTATCAGGCTCTTTGAATTAATCGATACTCAGCAACTAAACACAAGGAAAAAAAGTGCAATTCAGAGAAGCAATCCTTCCATATAAAAGGAAATTCATACATAATTCAACAAGGAAATAGAAGGCTGTGCCTGATCTTTGCTGTGAAAGGGTTTGAAGTGAACGCCAAGGGATCGCAAATCCAGATAAACCTGCTACATTTAACATTGAGGTTCCAATCGTAAAAATGCTTTCTGATCAATACTTCTCGTAGATCCAATCACCTCTACACTTTCCATTAGGAAGCAGGCTTTAAGGGTGATACGTTCAGAAGTAGACAGCGATTTTCATTATAAGTACTTGATAACCAAATTAGGTCATTCAGAATCACTTCAACACACAAGATCACTTGCAGACATTCGCTTCATGGAGTAGGACATTAAAATTGAGGCTTATACCATATATGACTCAATTTTTGAACTGGTACTTAAGCAAATATTATGCTGTCAATGTGAAGAGAATATACAATCCTGAGTGGACAACATAAATCTCTAAAGCATTGTTGCCTCACTCCTCTACCAGAATGTTTGGGAATAAGGTAAATATATTTTGCTTTTGCATTTAAAAGACCTACCTGTAATTCTAATCTCAAAACACAGATAAGGATTTAATTTATAATGCTCTGTTACTTGACCATCAATAGAAAGACACAAATTCTCCTTTTTGAAAATATCACATGCTTGGATACAACTGACAAATTCAGGAAAGACTATGACATAGCTGTCATTATAATGTTCATGTTATACATTTTCTAATCATTTAAAAAGGTGCAATTTATTACCAACTTCAAGAAAAGCAAGTAATTTGATACAAATACACAGAATTTAAAATGAACAAGTTATTTTTTTTAAATGTTATGATTTTTTCACCTACTGAACCTTTTTACAACATTTAATACAAAAATTTCTGAAGGAAAAATATCTTCATTCATGTTTTACATGTTTAAAGATATAAAAGATACAGGCTTGGTCTGACAAATGAATTTAGACAGATATCTATGACCATGAGAATAAAACCATAAATACCCAGGTATCAAGAAAAAGAAAAAAGAAAAAAAGCCCCATAGGTTAAATTACATGGTCGCATCAATGTTTCAACAACAAAAAACTCATCTGAGCTCACTAACACTCACATAATTATTTTGAAAGACATCATGGTTTATTGCAATCAAAATCCTGTGGTGCACTAGCAACAAGCCCGCGCAGTTGACATACGCTGTTACCTGACAATTTTGACACCTTGTAATTAGCGGATGAACTGCTTTTGTTGAAAACGTGTGAGCATGTAATTTGCAACATATTGGCTCATAGTTTTTTTTGTGATACCTAGGGGGAATACTTATGACATATTATGCAATTCACCCGCACGTGGGTAGTTCAAAAATGTGGTCCAGACTTACTTTTTAAAAAGAGATGCTAATCAACATGGGCAAGTTTGTCTCATTGTAAACCAAAAACATTATGGCTTGATTAATTGACCAATATATTAACTATTGACTATCATGGATATTTTCAACATTTGCTTATACATTACAGTGTTTTGATGGATAGCCAATAAGCATGCTTAACATTGATCAATGTAGTTTTGATATTTTTCTTTTATCCATACAAGCATATTACTTACATGGTCCCTGGTCAATATTGCATGGTAAACCTTTACTTGGTCTGAGTAGTTTTTGCGATTTATGAGGCCACTAAATGTGATAAACTGACATAAAGAAAGAAAGGATGACAGCTATCCCATTGAACTGGGTAATAATCCTCTTCTGTGTATAGCATGGAAATGTAGATAGCATACTCTAAGTAGTTATTTATGTGCTAAAGGGCAGCAGGAAGTAAGAATGGGTCAGCATGATGATGAAATACAAGTGAATGTCTAACTATGATTACAGATTTTGTTAAAATATGCAATGCATCAAATGAGGATTAACTTTTGATAAAAAATTAAACTGCAGATTTCCTTTGCTTACCTAAAAGAACTCACCCTATAGGAACTGACTTGATGTTAAGTCACATTTCAAATGTATGTATGGATCATTTCAAGCTCATTGATAAATAGTTATTCTATCTTATAATAAGCACTTCCCCAATTCAAACCCATGGACAGTTGGGCAGATGGACAAAAAGGTGACAGAAAAATTATTGGGCAATTCCATAGGCTCACTTTATTAACCAAGAAACAAGACACATGGTGATTACACCCTGAGAAGAGAAGCAGTATCACACCGGAATAGCCTGACAACGGTAAAGTCAGATACTGTTGTCACAAATGGCGAATATATAAGCACTAGTGCCAAAGGGAAAGGACCAAAAGTTGTAATGGAACTTAGCAAGAAAAAGCAAACTACATAACCGTCGCTTCAACCCTTCAATCACCTTGTCCTCGTTTCATGAGACTTTATCGCCGCTAATTTTGTGCATGTATTAAGCTCTTCTGATGATGTATCATATGAAATCCTAAGTTTGATCAAATTGGGTCGTGAATCTCTACAATATAGCGTCTTCGATATCGTCAATGACAATGGAATCTGAATTTAAAATAATTAACCATATGCCGTTGTCTTTGTAAATTATCCCAAATTCAGATTCCGTTGTCATTGACGATATCGAAGATGCTATACTGTGGCGACAGTACCGTTGTCAGGCTATTCTGATGTGAGTATGTATTATGTCTATATAGATAAGCGGAGGTCAACATTTGACAATGTCTATATGTCCTTATGATTGGTGTACTCTAAGATGTTTTCTTTCTTTGTTCTATAACAATTTTAAATCCTTTCCCTTTGGCACTTGACTACATGCATGCATATTCAGTTTCTGCAAAAGATTGTCAAACCAATTTTGAAGCATATTCAACAACAAGGACAATAAACATAACAGAAAATTCTAATGCAGGCTTGTGAATTTGGAAATTTCTGAATCTTATTTCATCAATACTTTCCATTTGTGACAGTGTAGCTCAATTAAAATTGTAAGGGAAACAATGACATGCTTTTTACTCTTTTACTTTCTTTAAAATCAATAGAAATTGACAAACTGACATCAATCTCCTGTCCATAAAGATCAAATCTTGAATGAAGAAGGTGAATGAAAACTGAAAAGGTGAAATTAGCAAATTTCAGGATTTTGGCAGGTCACTTACTAAGCTGAGGATTTCTTATGCTTTTAAATTTTTAGAAAACAAGATTTGTAACAGTTTTTGTTGGGGTTCCAAGTTACTCTGAGGTTTTGAAATATATCTATAGTGCTCCCTATGAACAGAAACTTTCCTCATGGATGGTAAATGCCAAGAGCCTATTGGGAACAACTGCCAGGCTACCATTTTCTAATCATTTTATTTAGCCTGGGATTTACAGTTTTTACACTATTATACCCCCAGGGGTCTGCATGTATTTTCTATGGTATCATGCATGGGTTATAAAAATATCTGAGTGTCTATGATGTATGTCTGGACATGTTGAAATAGAGTTGAGTTGTCCAGGAGTAAATAGTATTTTTACCATAAATTGAGAAGATTGTATCTGTTGAGTAATGCTGTGTTCCCTAGTTCCCTGAAAAAGTAGTTCTTTGGATAACATAAAGGGGACAGCCAAGGAAATAATGAAGGGGTGTATCTTGTCTAATTCTACAAGCACTTGAAGTCTGAGGGTGTAAGAGAAACATTGATAGTTCAAGGCACTGAGACCAATTCGTATTCTTCCATGATTGATTGTAGATTTGCTTGCTTTTAATGCGTATAGTTTATTTTTAAATAGATGGAGAGATACGATGTTCTGAAATAATTGGAAGAAATGACTTGTAATTATGTAATATTAAGTCTGCAAAAAGGTACATTGAAGAAATCTTGAGCCATTTTCTTAAGCCATATCTGGTCTGCTTTTGGGAGAGGCTATCATGTAACATTGCCCCTGTCCATTCAGGTGGCAACAATATCATGATTATTGAGTAGCTTGTTATTATGGGGGATTAGATTTACTTTACTAGGCAGACAAGATTTTAGAATCAAAAATGGCCATCTTTTTAGCAGCATGCTCAAAAATAAATCAGTTCTCAAAAAATTGGTTTGCCAATAACAATATAGCCCTCAACGGTACAATAAAACCCATTTCCAGCAAACTATCAAACACTCAAGAAACAATGTCCAATGACCTCATACCCCCAACATCAGATAACCAGTATCAGATAATCCAATTCCACAAAATTATAAGATACATTCATATAGATCATAGAACTGGAGAAGTGGAAACAGGATCTGAGTTAAGAGTGTCAGTAATGATTTTAATTATAGCTGATTGCATGCTATATGCATATTAAAAGCGTTAAAAACAACAAGCTATACTAGCAAATACTAAATCCTAGACATAAAGTCAGATGAACATGTCACAATTGGCTGATGAAAACATCATATATGCCTGTAATATATCTAATGCACCTTCCTAACATGCAAATATCTACTTACAATTACATTAGACTAAGTTACCACACATGAGGTAATCAGGATCTTATATTCAGTCAGGATGTATTTGGATTAGATTAATGCATTAGAATTTGATATTTTGATTATCATACTTTTGAAGGGATATTTTGCCTGCTACTATATGGGTTTCATCTCACCTTAAAGTGGCAGCATTCATTTCAGATGTTGTTGTGTCAAAAGTCAATAAATTGAATTCCAAGTCCAGAATTATAGCCGGAAACCCCCAATGCCAATCTCTTATATTAGAGACTGCCAATATTTAAAATGAACAAAATTTAGCATGAGGAGAGAAGTAGTTATTAAGCTTTTGAGAATTTAGTACTCATTCAAAAGCACCTTCCACTTTGCATGAGATGAAATGTGGTATGATCTTGCATGTGTGCTAGGTTCCTCAACTAGTTTTTATATTCAATGTTAGTATTCTTTTTAATGTATTCTTCAGCAAGCAATTTGGATTGTGATAAAATGATTCCTAAATGGAGGAGATGGGAAGGACGTGTTGGGCAAGTTTCTTTGTCAGGTGATTTTTTGGAATTTGGAGAATTGTTTCTTTACGTGATACGAATGGTATTTTCCCCCTCTATATTTTTGCCTAAAAACATGTCAGGTGTTAATAGAGCATCTGTTCTGTAGTATCTATAGTGTGACAATAAATATAAATATTATTCAGGATAAACACCATCATTAATGGATAGAGAGTAATTCTATCACATCAAAATATGTTTATATTACATACAGTGTTTTTATAATATAAAGTGAAGAATAATAAATCAGATCTTGGATCATGTTCATCAGTTCCATATATACACAGTGCGGTAACCGTTATGATACTTCACTGGTTATTAGTATCAAGCGAAGGTAACCGACATCACCTTCTCATCAAAGATAGCGGACGGGAACTGTCAGTTTTGATATTTTTAGTTTTCATCGAATTAAACTTTGCTTTGATATTTGAACCAAATCAGACTCATGTCACATGGGAACTATGGAATATGATAATGTGTTCATACACCATGCGTGAGCGCCACAGTTAAAGGATATCTTCCAACGCTTAAGGGAAGG